TAAGCGATTTCTTTAAAAAAATTTTGCGGAATAAGTCTTAAAACTTTTTGATTAGCGATCTTTCTCTCTGTCTTTTAAAATTATAGATATATTATGCATATAGTTTTATTACAATTTATTCACAAAAAAATTAAATATCTTTCTTTCTCTCTCTTCTTATTAAATATACATTACTTAAATCTAAAGTTTGTAAATCATTTTTTTAAAAAGTAGACTTAAATGCATTGATGAGTTTATGTTGCATTTATTTGTCATATAATCATGAAACTGACTGAATTTCTTAAAATTAGAAACCAAGCATGTTTAGCATTATGTCTATATAAAATAGATATTACAACTATTAATACTTGACTAACGGCATTTAAAAACGCGTGCAAAATAATTAAGAATATTCGATTATGATTCATATTTCTTTCAAAAATTAAAGGAGACTGAAAATAGATAGGGTTAAAAAGACATTTCTGAATTTTTGAAGATCTAAGAAATAGCTTCTTCATGGAATTAAATTATACAAATCATTATTAACTATATTAAAAATTAACAGATGTAACAGATGAAAGTCATTGCAATTTATAAATCAAAAAGCAAAATCTCCAGATATTTAGTAATATTCTTTGTGCCTATCTGCTCTTTTATTTTAAAATGTAATCGATAATGGAAAAGCTAAATTAGATTTTTAATCTTCACATATATTCAGAACTTTGGCTATTATTCTTGAAATTAAATGCAAATAATGACTAATCTCTCAACCCCATGTTAATTTCATTGGTTCGGGCAAAAGACAGAAAAAATAACGTAAGTTGACTTTCATGTATCTTCCTCAGTTGTGTCCTGAAAATTTCATTTCATATTTTCCTTGGGACGCCTTCTCATAAAATATGCATTTTATGGGAATTCAGAACAGATGTGGGGTGATGATGGTACATTACTCTGATGGTGCGACTACATGTGGTAACTGGTGTTGCTTGCATATTACATATTGCATACTGAACTAAAAAAATACATTTAATATAAATATATGAGAAGTTCTGTTAACAGTACATAATATTACTGAAGGTGAGGAAACGATTATTGTAAGTTACTGTCCCCATTATATGAAGATCTTGCTAGTGACAAGTGTCTGTCTAATCGAGAGTTTAGAAGCATTCTTTATGCTTTGTTTAAAACAGTTTGCAGACTGAATTAGTCATGCCCTCTTAATGTTTCAGTTGTACTTTAAGTCCTCTGATTTGTTACAGTTGAAACGATATCAGAGGAGCAACAGGATCATTGGTCCATCAGCTTCCATGAAATAGAGAGGTTTGGTGACAGACACAATGAAAATCGCTAAAATCCCTTGACACTGGCCGTGAATTTATGATTTTTCTAATGTCAAGTGGAGCCACAGGTGAATGAACTATTGCTTAAAATGGATATTAAACATATGCCTACTTCAATTAACAATGTGAAACTGAAATTTGGAGTGCTAACTCAAAAAAATTGATTCTGCAACTTTTACAAAATTTGGCACTTTGATAAGATGAGCTGCAGAATCAGGCTATGGAAAAAAAAATCAGTATGCCATTTAATTAAAAGTCTAATTTTGTGTCAAAATATGCATTCAGCATGACATTTCAGAAAAAGAACAATTTTGTGCCAAAATATGTATGTTACAGCAATGCTTAAATCATGCTTTTGAGACATGAAAAACCGGTGTACTCCAACTGCGCTAATGAAAATCCCCCCCCCTCGTCCCGGTATAGTCCAACTGCGGCAATCAAAATTTCTTCCTCCCTTTGCCTACAGGGTTACAATTTTACTTTTCGAAGCCGATTGTAGCCAAGAGGAAAATAAAAATAACGAATTACAATTACATATCACAATCACAAGAACAAGTAAAGAATATCTAACAAGCAGGCTAATTACTTGAATAACAGTAATAAATGTGAGAACTAACAAAGAAAATAAAAGTATAAGAAATGGTAAACATACATATTAGCATTACAAACATCTTTCATTAATTATAATTTCGAGGAAGGAGTATTACAATAATATCATAAATCAAATAATTGTAAAGCATACCAATTATACTTTTTATAAATTACATCAATAATAGTCAAGATGTCTAAACTAGACTGGAAAATTTAGTATAGCTCAGTGGCGTGCAAAAGATTTTTCCGTATCAAAGTGTGCTGGAAATATTTTTTGTTAATAAAAGTAATCATATAAATATTTGCAGAAATTAATAGTTAAATTGAAAAAAAAAAGATTAGTATGAAATCTATTATAACAAATATATTATTATTATAAATCTATTATAACAACATTACTATGTGTTTGAACACTGACATTTAAATTGTAAATAAATTTAAATTACTATGCTAACAAGTTTTCTAAAATTTATCTAGAAGAAAAGAATTAAGTAAACAGTACTGCAAATTAATATAATCAATCAGGCCCCTCAATAAATAAAAGCTGATTTTTTTAACCAAAAATTAAAAATTGAGATGCAAAAGTTTGTGTAATATACTTGGAAATATCTGAACACATAATTAATTAGAAACACATAATTAAATTAATAACAAAATTAAGCTTAATTTCATTCAATCTAAAACAAGCAATCGATCAGGAGCTTCGCATAACTGAAGTTTTATTGCTATTTTACGTAGATTTGCATATAAAATTAATATTTGCATTTGTGAAACAAGTGAATAATGTACTGATAGTCAACAGGAATTAAAATAACAGTGGTTAAAAATATGAATACTTGTCAGAAGGTATGCAAAGTTGCCATAGCTAGAGAAATTGAATGATTACAGAAAACTCAAGTTAAGTGCTACAGTGTGAAAAGAAAATTCTGGAATAAACATGTTAAGAAAATTAGATGGAGAAATAATCCTTAATTTATTGATATCCAATATAAACTCTATGCTTTTGGAAAATGTTACATATAATTTGCATCGAGGTATCAATCACCGAAACTGAGCTAATTTCTTTTCCTTATTTTTTTTTTTTTTATTAGAGGATTTGTAAAAAGATATGCAAAGGTGAAAATTTTTACAATATTTTTAAAGAATAAATTAAAAAAGTATTTTTACTTCATGAAGTGAAATTTTTATACTACATTTTGACACAGTAAATAAGTAAAAAAAAAAAAAGAAAGAGCCGGGGGTTCACTGGGACTAGAAACTCGGGTCGAACTACCAATGTTTAGTGACTTTTCCGCTTGATCATAAGACCTTTTGAAATTAGGCTGAACGATATATGAAAGAAAATAGAAGATACAGCACACGTAAGAAAAAAAGTGGGCTGAATTAGAGATTTACATGTTTAATGAATGAGTTAAACTTACCTGTATGCAATTATGAAATATTAGGAATGTAGCATAAAAGCATGGGTGACGAAGGCAATGGCAATCTAAATCATTGTAATCTAAATGTATAACATTATCAGTATCTGCTATTAATTTCAATACTGCTGAAAAAATTATAAATTAATTATATTATAAATCGCATGAACTCGTTGCATTATAAATTACAACAGTTTGAAATATTATTAGCGTGATTTAGCGACCATCTTTGATAACAAATAATTTCAAGTAATTAATTTTAAAAATAATTGAGCCTGAAACTAGGTTAGAAAATATGCTACATGCTGAAGATTAAGCTTTGCCAAGGTGTTAAAAACATCTTCTGTTAACTAGAGTTATGATGCAAGAATTTGTAAAAATTATCATTTAAATATAAACTGGCATAAATACAATACAAAATATATAAATTCTACATACATGAAAATTTGAGTACAGTGCAACAATATGTGAAACAGAAATGGATTAAAAGGGAACTGAAAATCCCAGGATATGAATATAAGGGAGTTTGAATTTTTTTTTGTTGATTATGAAAAATTCTGTAGACGCTCATAATTATCAATTTATTAATTAAATGTGTATTAGAAATTAAATGTATGCCAAAGTACATCAGGTGGAAAACAGAATAAATATTTAAACATTTCTAGTATTAAAATATGTAAGAATATGTAAGAAAGTTAAATAACTTTAAAATAACTTCAATGACTAAAAATGAAAAGCTTAATATGGGAATATATTGCAATAATATTGGTGTGAATTTAGAACGACTTAAGATGTCTAATTTTTAGATTTAATAAAGAGAATTTTTTAAATTCAATTAGAACTGTTTACCTAAAAATGTTAATTTGAAAACCATTCTGCTATCTAAGAAGATTTGTTAATATTTATCTAGACAAGAAACTTATTTAAGGTGCGCTGCAAATCTGATATTTGATAGGTTGATTACGTATAAGTTTTGTGTATGTCATTAATCTATCAATTTTACTATTCAAATCTGTATACATATATATCAGTGACTAAAATCTACAACTTGGAAAGTTTTTAATTCTTACAGAGAATAAAAAAGATCTGGCTCATCATTTCTTTAAGCATCATAAAACTTTAAAATGAGTGTAAAAGAAATTTATTTTTACTTTAGCACACGCCAGACTTAATTTAACTTAAATTAATATTTGTTTTGCATGCACAATTTTTACAATATTGATAAACGAAAATAAAGGCTTGCAGTCTCAATAAAATGTCCCATGAATGGCGATAAATGACTTTTTGTAGCACCCAATCTTCTTTGTAAAGAAAGAGGGGACAGAAAATGTTGTGCAGTTTGTGGATTAGATATGAAAAGGACGGGGATTTTCGATCAAATTTCGCACAGTTCGTACCCTACCTGAAAAACACAAGTTAAATTTTGTTGATTGGCCAACTAGAAAGTGAAATACACAACTGTCTTTTTCTTGATTGGCCAACTAGAAAGAGAGATATACAACTGTCTTTTTCTTGACTCACCATATAACCTTTTCTGAAACTTACAATATTCTACTTTTACCACTACTAAAGACTTGCTGTCATACAGATAGAAAATGTGATCAGATATCAAGGTCAAGCATGGATAAAAAAAAATATTAAACACAAGTTAAAAGAAAATAAAATGCTTCAGAACTTTAAAAGATATCTTTTTTATTCAATTAGTTTAACGCACGAAAAAGTATCAAATACATAATATAGATAATTTATTCACAGGGTAAAATGCTATATACATTGTTTAATATCAAATATATTCTCATCTTGTATTAAAATATTCACTTTTTTAATAAGTTCTTGCAACTTTTCAGCCACACAATGCCTTTACATACTTCATAAAAAACATCTGGGACAACACAATCTGGGGAATCAGCATTAGGTACACGGATCATCTGTACTGAAGTCTGAGAGTAGAGTCTACGTTCATAATCAATGAGTTGCCTGAAGAACCCATTGTTGGGACGGACCATTTGCCTTCTAGATCTAAGGTATCTAAACGCATTTCGCAGAGTCATGTTCCCAAATTTCATGAGATATGCTGGAAAAAAAGTGATTTTTTTAACAAATTGAAAAATTGTGCCTTGAATAATTAAACAGCAAACTCTCTAAAATAATGAAGAAATCATTTGGCTATCTAAAATCAAAGATTACATCAAACTAAATTTAACTAATATGTGATGCCTTAAAACTTTGGAAAAAAAATCACAACAATAATCTGAAAGGATTTACGTTTTGACACTGCAGCTAAGGGTTTGTTAAGTTTCATTGAGCTTGCACTTTACCTTATCTACTCTTAGACTTACTCCTGCTGATACAACTCTTTTTGTTTTTATAACCATGTTATTAACTCTTTTGCATCGATAGAGGACCAAATCTCTTTTTCTCAAATATCTAAAATGCCCATATATACGAATTCCTCTTGGAATGCTTTTCCTTCTCCCATGACAAATTGAATACTACAGCGCTAACAATAACCTTCTTAAATAAAGGGACAACTTCTTTCTTGGATGATTTCACCCTGTTTAGTTCTCCCTTGGGATAGGGTTGCAACTTCAGGCATCAATAGGTAAACATTAACAGGAAACAAAGGAAAAAGAATGTGCATTAAAATAACAGAACTACTTTTAGTCACTTCAAAAGAATGATTGACATGTCATTTAACAACTCCTGAAAGCAATGAGCAATGCAGTAACATGATGGGAGAAAGAGCACTATGTAGGAAATTATTCAGGCATTCGGGCAACCTGCTGTTGTCTGAATGCACGGCCGTTTGGGGCGACTTCGATGTGAAAGAGTTAATAATCACTTTCTTTGCAATTCCATCCATAAAATTCAGCAAAATCACAAAATCTTAAAAAAAAGCATATTTTTAGAATTCTTAATACAGTGTTGTTACCGCACATTTCTTAGCCCAGAAAAGCTATTATTCTTGAGCTTTTGTGTCAAATCACTTTTGTTGGCCATTTCACTTTTCAAATAACTAGCTGCTTGCCTGGCCAGTCGCTCAAAACAGTTATGATAAAAAAGAAAATGCTTTTAATAAATCCAGCTACCATTCATTTTATGAGTCCAGCTAATAATTAATAAATGAAATTACTTTACTTTGTCAATCAAAGACAGGCAGATTAAATTTAAAAGAAAAATTAAATAATTTATACTTTGTCAAATGACAACAAACCTGCATATGTTAGTTAATAGTTAATATCCAGTATCTTTTAGAACTCCCAATAAAGTGTTAATGTTGCCATACATTTTTTTTAACATTTGCCATATTATTTCTTTAAAAATAACATATGTTGTTAAAATTTTGTTGCTACAACCTTTCATTTGTGTTGCTATACATTTTTCCTTAATATCCACTGCATTATTTCCTTAAAGATAATACACAGAGTGGTATATTTGTGATGAACAAACTATATAAAATATAAATAATACATTTGGAGGTAACATCCTTTTATTTATATATATTTCACATTTACTATATTTTTTCTTCTAAAATAATATCTGTCGATAAAAGGGCAACATTTGAAAAGTTATTCGGACTCTAACAGCAACCCTGATGCTATGAAATGAAGAAGTTATAGCACAGTTTGTAGTAACATAATTATCTAAATGGGAGTTGTTTTAATCCAAAAAGAGAGTACAAAAACACACAAACACGAAGTTCACATGAATTCATTCAGCAAATAAGGCTGAAATAAGATCTGACTGCTTGGTCTGCTGATTTGATTCCAGTGAATTTGGGGCTGAAGAGGGGAGGTAGCAGAAGCCATGAATGTACACTGCGGGGGAAGAAGTTTGATATCTCCTGTTCTACTGGGCCGATTAATGATTCAAAGGAACGACTTAGGATATGTATTAGATTTACAGATAGCATTGTTCTACTATAGATATTTTGACAAAGAATTGGACTTTTTTTGAAATGACATGCCAATTTTTTTTTTTTTTATATCTCGATTCTACGACTCAAATTATGCCAAACTGCAAAGTTTCATAAAAATCACACACGTAGTTTTTAAAAAATTTGCTCATCAATGTTAATTGAATTTGGCATATATTTGTTAATATCTCTTCCTTTTTTTTAAAATCAAACTTATTTGATTCTTCCTTTCACATTCCGAAATTTAGGTTCATTCCAAATCAGTTTGCCCATTTTTAATGATTTAGTTTTAAAATTTATATTTTTCGAAAAACATTTTGAATTATAACCCATACAATTTTTAACATCATCTTAAAGCAGATCTTCTAGGCACACCTGCAAAAAATTAAGGGTTTTTTATTCAAAATTTTTCTATGATATACATGAATTTACATATTGGCACGTTTTGAAATTTGGCATGCTTGTTCAAATAAATAAAACATCAAATGTGGTTTAGGCACTTTGTTAAAATTATTTCAAAGTATGGAAGATGACCTTTTTCCCCGCTCATTTACAATGAAAAAAAGGAAAGGAAAATAGGTTACATTAAGAAATTTGCCTAGTGAATTATTCTTGGCGCAACCTTAAAAAAATGCGGCAAGATAAAATTTTGAATATCTCCGTGAATTTCACACCAATTTAAAAAAAAATTAATATTTAACCATAATTTGAGTCATGGAATCGAAATATGGAAAAAAATTTCATATCGTTTCAGAAAAAGTCTGACTTTGTGTGTCAAAATACCTATATTAGAACAATGCCAATATATAAATCTAATATATATCCTAAGTCGTTCTTTCGTGACATGAAAAACGTAATTTGAATTTCATCAATCGTCCTAGTAGAATGGGAGATATCTAACTGTCCCCCCCTTTTTTTTTGGTTCAGTGTACAATCAAGGCCTTCCACATTATTGAAACTTAAAAATGTCGTCATTGAGTGAGGAGTACATTTGTCCCATCTTGACATATCATAAGTATCTAACTTATTTGACTTGTGTCATACATTGCAATTATTTTTGAAAGTAAATTGACTTGTGTCAATTTTAGCTACAGGTATTCAGATGCCATACTGAATACCTGTAGCTAAAATACAGTCTGAACACACTGTATTCCCCCTTCTCTTCTGAAGTGATGCACTAAATACTGGAAAGCTTATTATTAAAGCTTTCACGTCACACATCATATACATATATATATATTGTTAATAAAAACCCCATCTCTTACATAATGTTGTTTCTGTGAACTATTTTTCCTCATTTGTTCTTTTTTTTTTATGTTTTTTAAACTCGTAACAAACTTTTGGTGTATACTCTATTTTCATTATATAAAAAAATATATTTAACAAAATATGGCAGCTTTATTTTAGTATTTTTTCAAACATAATTAGTATACTCTGTAATTAATATATATGCTGCTATTTAAAAAGCTCTCTCACTCTCTCTATATATGTTAGAAGTTGTGATTTTAGAAGGTAATTTCTGAATAATAGTACATTCTTACAACCTCTTTGATGTCCTACTATCAAACAGGATGTCAAAACTAGACTGAATATTTCCTTCCACTTAATGATTACAAAATGAACAGCAAGAAATTCTATTCCTATGAATGATTACATGTAACACAGCCAGCTGCCGCTAGTTAATAAGAAGCTCTATTACACTATCTATACTAAGATTTTTTAACTTGTGGCAGATTCTTTCCCCTCAACAGAGGAAATTTTTTGACTTTGGAGGTAAGGAATTTTATAAACTATAAGGTATTTCTCCAGCCTTCTTCGCATGCCTTCCTGGAGTAGTGGTCTGCAAGCTGGGCACATATTCTAGAGGTCCATGGTTCAATTCCCAGAGAAGGCGTTGCTAATTTTTCATCTTTCCTGCTTTCAAAAATAATCCTAATGACTCTACAGTGGTGCCCAAACTAAAAGGGTGCTGGATGATGATTCTCCACACCAAGGATTTGGCGATTGGGTCCCCTAAAATCCCCAGTTGTCCTTTAAAAGGCGAAGTATATAAGGTTGGTTGGTTAGCCTTGGGTATGAAATGACTTTTCAAACCAATCATTCAGCAATGTTTGTATCATCCATGCTCTTTCATTTGAATGATAGATGATTGAGAAAATCTCTCCTCTTTTAAACTGAGGTCATGTATTTTTTCCAGTTATGAAAAGTTTACATTTGTACACATTTCTGCAGCATTTGAACATATCTCAGTTTGGAATTTTTGACTCCAGTTGAGGCTTTTCTCTAGAGGTTGTATTTTATGGTACATGTAGATACTGCTGCAAAATTTGAAACTCTTTTCGAAATAATTGAAAATTCAAACTTTAATTTTCATACGACTGGGATAATTATAACAGTCTTAAAAAATAACTAGATCAAATTAGAAAGTTAAGGAATAGCACAATCTGCTATATTAATTGCACTTAGATTCCTTGGAATCAGTAGTGTATTGTTTCAGCATAACTTAATTCTTAGCTAGTGTCCACTATACACTACTGGTGATGTATTATGAGACTACAGAATCATCACTATTGGCAACTAAAGACATGTTGTTGTTCTAAATTTTGTCTTGCTTCTACTGTATGCTGAAGAAGTTATGCCTTAATTACCTTATTTTAGTTATTTATTATACTTATGTTCATTTCATGCATATGCTTAATTCTTACCTAAGTCTTAGGCAAATAAACTCCCATATATAGTTAAGGCTTATCTGAATAACAAATCAGTTACTTTCAATCCGAACATTACTAATTTTAACTTATAAATATCACTTACAAAATCGATTTTTTGCATATGGAAATAAAAAACTCTGCTAAATTTCTCCTTATTAAGACACTCAATACTTCACAGTTGCCTAAAGTCTGTAATTATCAGCAACAAAAAAAGGGTAACATGCCAATGAGTTTGATATTCAGTTACTAATATAGTATATATATGTGAAAAATAGCCATGCAACTGTAACTATATAACTTCACGTGCCATCTAGATCGGCATGAAAACTAGCTGTGAACAATGATGAATGGAGATGCACGATGTAACAATTATTAATTCTCTTATCTTTTTTTACTTCATGTAAATAAATCATATTTTACTAATAACTCAGTGAGTATTAGTAATGT